CATTGCGCGCCCGCCTAAAGCCTCAATGGCGGCGTTTCGCACGAACTCATCCTGATCCCCGAGCAGCGCTACCACCGCTGTGAGCATCCCGTCAGGCAGCGTTACGCCCCGCCTAGGGCCGTAATAGCGGCGTGTCGCACGTGACTGTCCTCATCCCCGAGCCGCGCCGCCACTGCTCTAGCGATACTGTGCGGAATTGAGGCGCGAGAAGCTAAAGACCGCAGAAGCCTTGCCTGACCATCGCTAGACTCGTGGAGTAGGGCTGACCTCAGGGCTGCCTCGGGAAACTCAGCTTCACTCGCTAGCCACGCGCTTTCGTTGAATTTGCATTCAAACAGCAGCCACCGGGCCAGCCGTTCTTCTAGGGCCTGCCGCGTTGCCAAGTTGCTCGACATTTCGCTCAAGCAATGCATGACCAGTCGCTGATGTGTCGGGCCCAAGATGTCGAGCGGTTCCTCCTCAATTGTATCGATGAAATCTGGTGCCTGAGCACTTCCGTCCAGCAAGCCGGCAACAAAACGCCAAAAGATGTCGTAGCGAGTTGTGTATTTGTGTTTTCGAAGAAACTCTACGGGGTGGCTCGCTTTTGTCCCAGTGTTAGTATTGCTGAGTGTAAGAAACGAGAGTTGTCCCTCCGGATCTTTCCACTGGCGTACAAAATACTGTGCCGCAAAGTACTCTTGAAATGTCAAGTGTATAAAGTGGTAGTTTCTGTCCTTGATGGTTGAAGCTGTGTCTGAGGTTCGTAAGAAAGATAGTCGCGAGAGTGTCTCATCGAGTGGCAAATCTTGCAGTGGGCACAATTTGACCACACCATCTCGATGTTCTGGCGTGAAATCAATTATGTCATGGTGTAACCCGTTAAATGCAAGGCATTCAACTAGCGCAATCTCAGCTGTGATTTTATTCTCAATCTCAGCTGTATGAGCAACTTCAGCATATCCCTCCTTGGCCTTTTCCAATCGTACAATATCCTTCTTCCATAACTTTTGCACGATAGTGTTATACATGCCGGTCATGGTGTTTGGCACAGCTTTCGGATCGAATTCTTCCCAAGTGTAACAAAGCGCGTCCAATTGAATTGGGATGCGCACAAGACCTTGGACGAGCCAATGCTTTTGAAGGAACGACTGGACCTTGTCGACCTTGGTCTGATCAGTCTTGACCATTTTTGGGTTAGTGAACGATCTTTCGATATATTCGTCCACCTGATCAGGCCCGAAACCAATTGTTTCCAACTCGAGGTGCACGTTCTGCCGCACAGGCTTGGCGGATGGTCGGGACGTGATGATGACATTAGGTTGGCTTAAAAGCTCGTCGAGGAAGCGGGGCATACTGCCGTTGCCTGTGAGGTCCTGCGATACTTCGTCCAGGCCGTCAAGGAGAAATAACGTATTGCTGCTCTTGATTCCTAATGCGCGGAACAACGCTCCAGCAAGATTTGGTTCATTCTTAGGCAGCAAGAACTCATGACGGAAGAGATGTTCAAGGGTATACTTGGGTTTAATGCGTCTTTCCGGTAGCTTCAGATTTCGCAGAGGTACCCAGAGCACACGGTCGAATAATTCGTTCCATTTATCCCACGTGCCTTTGTGAAATTCGTAGACAATCTTTTTACACAAAGTAGTCTTGCCAACACCCGCACGCCCTCGAATCAAAATTCGTCGTGGGAGAACCGGTCCGCCGTCGCTTCCCTTGCGTTCGTTGAAAAGTGCCGCCAACTCGACCTGCATAGTCTTGTCGGGTGCCTCAACCCTCTGCCGAGCGAGGACGGAAAATGGGGATGGCGCTGTGCCCCCCTTCTTTGGGTGGCCTGTGTCTTGGCCGGATCGTTCCACGATGGCTAGGTTAATGTAGCACTGATCCATCGGCAGTGACTCGCCAGAGAGCCGTTCGATTCTGAGCCTGTCCGCCGTGTAGTGTTTGTCGCGTATCCATGTGTCGGCTTGCTCGAGCAGCGATGGGGTCTTCAGGCGTCGTATCGCCGCTGTCAGCGCCGCGAACAGCGCGTCAGTTGGTCCGCCGCACTTGTTGAGCCCAGAATGATCCGTTTCGATGCTGTGGCTCTCGCGAGCATCGGCGTGAACCTTGGCAGAATCCCGTGGAACCACCTGTAGAAGGTTAGACGGCTGCTGACAAAGAGATGTACACACTTACAACGCCTAGCGATAGCCCGAGTAAATACGTCTTCTTAGTCTCGTAGAACGATGTGATCCGAACCCTCTGCTGCCATCGTCCGTTTGGAGCTATACGAGAGTCGAATGCATCCGCAAGGTTGCTGAGCTGCGCCCCATGATTCTTCAGAGACAGGAGCAGTGTCGTGTCTGATCCCAGGAAACCGGTCAGAGCAGCCAGCGCAGCGCCAGCAATAGACGCTGATGAGCCTTGGTGCGGCGCTCCGAGGAATATGATACCCGCGGTATCATCAATGATGTCTTGGGAGTCACTCGTGCACAGAGCCTTGTAGAGGTCAGAAGACACGAGGTTCAACCGTTCAGGGGCACAACCATACCTGCTTGATAATGATACCACCTAGGCTGTGGCCAATGAAGATGATAGGGAGGTGCTAGTAAGAAACGTTAGGCATGTCCGGCCAGGGGCGTCGCGATCCTTACCGGGGATGATCGCTTGTCTCTGATCTCCTTTAGCAGGCATTTGCCAATCTCCTCGGTGGTCTTGACAGGGGCGTCAATCAGCCAGTTGGATTCATGGGCAAAATTCCAGATCCGGGCGTCAGGAAAATCATGCGCGAGGAGGTCTTTCAATAGGTGAATCTTCGAGGACTGTGCGGTTTTACATTCAGCTGCGTCGGGTGCTTGGGTTTTCCGAGCCTCCCATGTGTGATACGGATGTGCACCAAGGCCAGGAACGGCGATGATCCTGCCTCGAAGTTAGTAACGCGTGCCGGTCGAACGAGCAGTTCTAACGGACTCAAATTTGGCATCATCTTTGCCAGAGAGAATTTCCAGCGTCCCGGAGCGATTCTTATCGCGGGGTCGACAGATCTTGCCAGTAACGCGATGGAAGGACGTGGCGAGGAGTAGTGTCACTATGGCCAAGCCAGCGCCCCACCAGGTAGTCATCCATCCCCAACCTGTGGACATTTTGAGAGCCGAGCTCGAAAAAGGCAGACTACGAAGCGACGCAAAGTTACGATGATAGTTCAAGCTTGTAACTGCCTAGGCAAGGTTGGCAGACGAAAAATGTGGCCCAACAATGCATGGCGGACGGGAGGGGGGATGCCTCGGATTTCTGAACTATACGGATGCATGGCTGCCAGTCGTGTAGTACTTGTTCAAGTGGAGGCCAGAATTGATGCTTGTGGTACCGGTGTAACACTACATACCATTAAGACGTGCCACTGAAACAATTTTGTACGCCACGGCGCTTCGGCAGCACTCTGGGAACTGCACGGCTGAAGCCTCCCCGCCATACGCTGGTTGCTGCCATAATACCCTTGTTCTGTGGATGGCAGACAAAGCGCCAAGTGTAGGGAAGGCGGCAGGTCTCAGCCTCACCCACAAGAACAAGGGCAGTAGCAAGGTGCAGTCAGCCTCTTGGCCCATCCAATAAAATCTTGCCACAACGCGAAGCCTACCGCAACGCCCGATGTAACACCAGCCACGTACAATTATGTGTGCTTACCTCCTATCATTAGTTGCGCGTCTGCATCGACAAGGCACATGTGGCTGCCCGAGACGTACGGATGCTCCGTGATCAAGGCGACGCCGCGAGGGGCAGGCATCTTTTACCTCGACATGATGGCCGACTACATGCTCAGGCAAGATGGCGACCGTGAAGAGCTCGGTATTCTGGACCATACTCTCCGTTGCGACGCGTTTGGGCTGACGCATCTGCGAACAGGCACCTCCCTTCTCCATCCGGCTCCTCGAGCAACACGCCGCCGCGTCTGGAGACGAGCGCGACCAGCTCCTGACGCTGTTGCCCGCATCGTACCGCAAAGAGTCCGGTGACTTGGCAGCTGCCGGCCAGCATGTCACGGCCTGCGTCGAGGAAGAGCTTGATCTACGGCGCCTCACCAGCATCCAGGGCTGGCTCTGGGTGGCAGGTATGCCTCTGCCGCCGCGTGCCCTGCACCACCAGCTCCTGCTCGGCCGGGAGATCTTTGTCACAGAGCAGATGGATATGCATCTCGTCTGGACCACTGGCCGGATGTTTTTGAAGCCGGTCCCGCGTTTCCTCCTGGAGCCGGCTTTCTGGGTTCGATATCTCGCCTGCGAGGAGTGTGGATGTTCTCCCGACACGAATACGGCTAACCACGCCATCGCCCGAACAGAATGCAGGCGTCCACGGCTCCGCCAACGTGCGCTCGGCTTCCTCTACTCCTACGCCGCGCTGCTCTCGCACGAGAGCGATTTCCGAATCGCCCAAGAAAAGCACCTGCTGCCGACAGACATAACGTGGTGCGGATGGCGGATACTCGTCGAGCAGCTGGACACCGAACACATCTACCCCCACATTGACCGGCGATTTATCCACGGAGAGCTGCGTCTGAGTCGTCTGAACAAAATATACGCCCTATCACGGACGCCGATGCGCGGATACATGGCTCGCTGGGATCGGTACGGCGCCTTCTTCCACGATCACTTTGCTTGGCTGGCCAGCGCAATAGTGTACATCGCCATTGTCCTGGCTGCCATGCAGGTCGGGCTGGCGACGGAGTCCCTCGGCCACAGTAAGGTGTTTCAATCTGCGTCGTACGGCTTCACGGTGTTTTCCATCCTGGGACCCCTCATTGCCGCCTCAATTATTGTGCTTCAATTCTGTGGCATCTTTCTATGGAACTGGATGAAGGCTTTTCATCAGAAAAGAACACGTTACTCTGAGACGCGCTTCTCATAGGTTTGATTCTGCCGCGCTTTAGTCGATCTTAATGAGGTACTAGGTAAATAGTCGAAAAATATATCCTAGCTTCAACACAACTCACGGGGCCTGGTATGTAATTGCGGACCGGAGCTCAGGGCTCAGCATATCCTCCTTTGCCCAATGACATTCCTCCGCTGGTCGTCCGCGGAAATGCAGAAGATATTCTTTGGTTTGACCTTGTCGTAAATCATACACGTCAACGTCCACTCCAAACCCCCTGTATTTCCCATCAAAGCTTCTGGCCATTTGCCTGTTTCCAAGAGTTCTCCTGTGCGCCCAGTATGTCGTACCATCAGGATGCAAGATCAGATACGTTGCATCCCATTTCTCCAGGATCGACCTCGAACATGGAGGAGGCGATTTCTTGACAGTATCGCTCTTTCGCCCTTTGCTGCGGAGTCTAGTCTGATGTCGTCCGTCGTCCGTTGGGCCGTTCGAGAGCGTCGCGGCCAGGATAGGTTTCTCTGATGATAGTTCACTTTCGTCCCTCCAGACCTCACTATGATCGCCGTTACGGCCATTGCTTACCCATCGGCCGATTGCGTGATATTGGCTCCATAAGTGCTGGATATCACGGAAACTGTCGAATCCGTTTTTGCATCCGCAAGTTTTGCAGTAACGTCGCAGCTGAACTGTTGAATATTTGGCAGCGTTTTCGGGTTTGACGTCGAGAACGAAACTGCCATCGCAATCCACGAACGCTTCATGAGCTTGGTCCTCTCTGAAAGAGTCTGCTTGGAGCACGCGGTAGCAAAAGTAGCAAGCAAAATTTCCAGGGCTTTTTTCGTTGGGGAAGTGCTGCTTGAACTCTTTCTCAGCTCTCATGACGAACTGGAACTGATCTTGTTGATCGGCCAGCTCTGGTCGAGCCATCTGATGAAAGTGGTGGCTGGTCTGCGAAAGAAAAATGAGGGACTGATAATCCAAATGCGAGAAGATCATTCTTTGAATGTCATCGCCCAGTGTTCGAAATGAACCAGTCACATTGATCGGTGTCTTCTGTGCAAGCACTGGCGGCCCCATTCTGCGGTCGCTGCCAGCTCCAGGCTCACAGTGAAGGCTTGCGATATGCAGCTTGCATGTGCCGAATTGCTGACGCTTGCTCATTTTCCGTGCAACTACGCGACGTATGGATGACTGCTGCTGTATAGATCTGCCTTGTTTCGGAAGCTGGTAGAGTACCTTGTCTGAATCAGCATGTTGCTCTTGCACGAGCGGGATCGCCTCACATTTGCTTGCGATCGGATGTATCTGAATCGATTCGTTGCGCGTCATTTTGCCTGCAAAAATCTGTAAGTTTGATTTAGTCTCAAAAGTGCAGTTATATACTCACCCATGAGAGTGCACTTGGCCGGCTCGACTTCGTAGCATCCTTGCAGAACGTTGGTGAAGGGTGGGAGTTCCAGTCTTTCGACCTCGATCACGTCAGGGGGCTTTGGTGTATATATGATCTTGTGCGTCAGGCAGCTATTCCATCACTCTAGACAGCCATCGACCGGTTGGTGGTCAAGGTAACAACCATCGCAGAATCTAGAATGTAGAAATCCTCTCAAGTCTGAACAGCCACAGAAACATAGGCATCTACCGGCGTCAGAAGTCGCATAGAGAACATCATAAGTAAACAGTCCGAATTTAGCTGGTATGAGTGTTTCTAAACAGTACGTATAAGTTTATCTGTATAAGCCATCCATGAAGAGATATCCCCGAGTTGAGGGTGATGTTCAATAAAGGTCTCTATACTCTGTCGCCAAGTATTCCATTTCTTCATCGAAGCCCCTGTTTCAAACTGTTTATGAAGCCAGTAAAATGAATTCAGAACAGACCACTCGCTAT